GTTCTCTGTAGAAGTGGCTCAAGATCACACCTCCTCCTTCTGTGCCTTAACATAAAAGAAAGGGTTTGGCCCTAAAGAAAGTACTTTTTTAAAGAACACAGGGGAACGTACTGATTTACAGATCTTAACGCTCCACTGGGGTACAGCTGCAGTCTGCATCGAGTTATCAAAACTGGAGACGAGTGTGGAGCTTTACATGGCCTTGCAGAGCCCCAGGTCTCAGATGCAGAGTGAGAGCCTGTCCTCCCCCCAGTTAGCCCTGCAGTCCTTTCTGTTTTCACTTTCTTTCCTAACCATCATTTATTTCCTTCCGTGGTAGTTTACAGACGAGAAGCATCGGTCCCCCCTCTCTCCACCTCCTTTCCAGCCATGTGACTGAGCACTCCCTGCATCAAGTGAAACTTTTCAGTCCCCAGGAAACCTTGGTTTCCTTTCCACCCACTCCACCGTGAGAAGCAGCATCTCTCAAACCTGCAGCTGTGCTGGCCATGGGGAGGAGCGTGTGGAAGTTTGTCTTGCTAACCTTCGCCTCCGGTGAGTAACAACCTCCATCATTTCTATCAGAAAAATGAGATAGACTATGCTAGTTTTGTTTCCTTGCAGTCAGGACAGCACCTAACAGACTGAAGACTTGAAATAGTTCTGTTGCTAGCACTAAGGGTGCTTTTAATAAAGTCCCACTGCTAAGAAATAACTATAACTACATTTAATTGCAGCTGGTGTAGACTTAGTCTGATGTTTTCCTGCGTATTTTCGCTTGCGCTCTGTGGTGACATAAACTCTGACTGTGTGATGATGCCAGCTCAAAATAGTATTAGAAGCAGGCTATTTTGGGTTTGCTTTTCTTAATTAAAAATAATTTCCAGACCAGCATAATTGACTGAGGGTCTTGAGTGAGACAAGCAGAAGAAAAACTAAGGCAGCATTGCTCGAGTCATTCATTTGTCTGCATTGCGAGATGCAGAGCATGATCAGGAAAGCAAGAGTGAAGCAGGGAGCCTGGGCAAGGCAGAGGCAGGCTGGGGCTTAGCGCAACGACAAACCAGATCAAAGTCACCGTTCAATCCTTAATGCTGCTCTGTGAAAATCTGGGGAGCTAGCCTGGTCAAGGACGTGTCCCAGCATGTGAAGTCATCCCTCAACACCCGCAGCAGTACGAAATCTGCCAGGTGAAGGACAGAGTGTGATTTAATCTGTGTCATGGCCAAAGGTTTGAGCTCACTGGTGGGACATTGGATTTCTGTGGTGTGTTTTGCCATCGGCATACAGGGATCACACAGGCAACAACCCCCGTCTCCCTCCCAGCTCTGCTGCAGCAGCACAGCGAGCAGGGAAACAGCCCAGGGGCTTGGCCACAAGCAGCTCCTGCCACATCTGCTCTGCTTTCCCGCACCCACTTCATAGCCAGAGTCTGCTGAAGTAGCCCCAAAATGTATACACGAAAGAAGAGCAAGAGCAGACTTAGAGAAATAACACTAATAACTCAGTGGTCAGCAAGGATCTTTTTGACCAGGAAGAACTTGTTTCCTCAGCTCCTCCTCCATTTTTGGTTGTTCCTTTAGTAATTTGTTGTGATGTTTTATTAGTGCCACAAAGTCAAGTCTTTCTGTGAAGGTAGGGAATTAACATAATTAAAGTTTAAGGGATAAAGTCTGATGGGTTGGAGGTTTAAGAAATTGCTCCTGTGTTGGAGGGAAACTATGATAGTACCGAAACCTCTCAGAAAAATCTTGATGCTTTTCCAGTTCCTCAAGGACTCAAACCAAAGGAGCCGGAGCCAGGGAGACTGTTGTGTAGGAGCTGGGACAGGTTTCTGTGTCCACACAAAATCAGTCAGCTAAACACAAGCATTTCTTCTGGGCACCATAAAGCGGAACAAACCTGCTGGGCTGCTGAGCAGCATGAGTGTGTGGTTAGAAGAGAAGGCAAAAAAATCCCCAGCAAGAGTTTTTTTCACCCACCCCATTACAGGATGGCAGGCTGAGAAATGTCACAGCCAGATCATGGCACTGAGCCCTCTGCTTCCCACCATAATGCCTGGGAGCAGAGCAGTGATCTTCCTTTGCTGGCATTGACTGAACCTTCCCGGTCACCAAAGCATGAAAACAGGGTCTCCAGGACCAGATTGGGGACTGCGAATTTCTGAGAGCTGCCCTGGTCCTTTTCTAAGAGTTTTGTTCTGAAGCGTTGCCTACATGGAGGCTTGCTGGGCAGAAACGCAGCCCTTGGCGTTTGTAACGCACAACTTTGAAGCTGAGGTGAGACGAGGGGATTGCAGCTGCTTGCTCCAGGAAGACACACTGCAGGGAGCATGTGTCCTTCAAGCAAAATGCTGGTCATATGAAGTTTTGAGATGGCCTGATAGAAAAAAGAAACAGAGACTAACGGGGGATGCAGAGCTGCAATTTGTTGCTCTGTGGCCCCTTTTGCTGGCAGAGCTGTGGTGGGGGGAGCCGTGCAAGCGGCTCCTTTGCCAGGCAGTGCCAGGCTCCCCGAGAGGCAATGCCTCCCAGACCGTAGTTGGAGGGTAGGTCAGGCACCCCATGGGCCCACCTGCCCCTTCGCACAGCACAGCTACAGAACTACCTCCACCGGCCACACAAGAAGAGCCAAGACCATTAGGTGCAACCAGAGAGCAATCCTTAGCCATCCATGGGAGCTCATCTGGCCAAACGCCTTTTGAGAAGATGACCCAAACCAACAGGCTTAGGAGCGTGGCCATGCCCTGACAGAGGCTCCAAAATGCTAGGGAGAGCCGTGGGAGGCTGGAGGAGCGGTCTGGCAGGTCACCTGGTGAGCACAAGCCATGGGCGACCTCAATGACATTTCTGACTTTACCCCTCAGTGACCCTGTCAGGCTGAATGTTTCTCTAGTGAAAAATAGTTAGGTTGAAATGACCTCTTGGGGAAAATTAAGTTTCATTTAAAAGCTAGGGGTGGCATCCAAATGTTAGTGAAATAACGTTTCTCTCCGTGTCTGTAAGGTGTTACCTGGTCAGTAATCAAAACCAATCTGTTAACTAAAAACTAAGAAGTACTGACTATTTAAGACTTGTGTAAATTTAAACATGGGTTGTTTTGCAATCTTATAGGGGAAAAAGGAGTGAAAATTGCAGCTTCTTTTTTTGTTTTTACTGTACCAATACACTTAGATGCAACTATCTATAGCTGGTATATGGCAACTGCTCTGATTTTCCACTGGCACACAGAGAAAGAGATTTGTTTTTCAGCTTTTCAGCTTTTCAGCTCTGCCAGCAGGTGTGGTAAAGTCTAGGGAAAAGTGAGCAAATTAACTGAAGTATCATATTAATTATGGCCTTTTTAGGTTCCTTTGGATAAAATTCACAACCAGAGGGATCTGTCCTGTCATTTTTGTGGCTTTTCAATGGTATCAAGTTGCACTTCTTTGATGATAACAGCTGTACTGGCAGTCAAGTGTATTCTGTACAGTACAAAGGTGAAACCCAGGCAGTTTTAGGAATATGAGTATACATCTACACTTCTGCTCTTCTCTAGCGTAGCCATTTTAAGGGAAAATTGAAGTGTGGGTTCAGGTCTATACACCTGTTCTCATTTCTTTCATTTTGATCTTGAATTTGATTCAAAACCCAGTAGGTTTTATTATTGTGATGTAGTCTATATGTATCCTAAAATGGTGAGATTTTGTGAATTCAGCTATTGTTGCAGATGTGTGTCCATGCTGAGTGAAAATAAATAAATGAAAGAAAGACGAGCTTGTGAGATTTCAGCCATTTCCACTCTGAATGTGCCTCTGGCCTTAATGGATCCTAAAATCCAAATCTCAGCAACCTGCCTGCCACAAAGCTTTGATACTGATTCATGAGAAATTTCTTTGAAAATACCAGCATACAATAAATTTCTTAGACAATGTGTTGCAGCATCCTCTGTGGAGCTGTACCGCTAGGAATATGAGCTGTCTTGGACTTTTGGGTCTCTTCTGTCTCCAAACTGGAGAATTCATCGCTATCCTCTGGTTAATTTAGGCAATAAAGCATTTAACTACACCTGAAGCTTCATGCCCATCAAGGAATTCATGTATGTCAGTGATTTATGATTTTTTTAGTTTGACATTGTCTTTACGGAGTCTTGTTGCATGCTCACAATCAAAGACTCATGCAGAAGAGTTGTGACGTTCATCTATTCTACAGTGTACTTTTCCCACTTTTTCTTCACTTTGTTATTTGCATTTAGGAGACAGATATTTTCTTTTCAATTCTGCAAGGGACATGTTTCTGTAAATGTTATAAGACGGAAGCATAATTTTGGTGCTGTGACTATTTCTAGATGTGGTCCAAAAAGCCCCTGGATGTTGTACCCTGAAATTTGTTTCTCATTGCTGAAACCCCATCTCTAAGAGGGATGGTCTTTCCTTGTACGGAGCATCCCCTTGGGTATCTCCCAGGAGGAAGAACTTCAGGGTTCAAGCTGGCATGGTTACAACTAAACCATAAATAAATATCTGGAATTTCCCTGTCTCCCAGACTGGTTTCCCAGACTATTGTGAATCACTGTGAGACCATTACACTGCCTCACTTCCTTCATACACAAAAAATGCTCCCTCTCCCCATGCTTTGTTGGTAAGTAACCAACAACCCCTTCATCTGTTACACCCACTTCATCTTCCTTAGACCTTGAAAATTTGCTTCTAGCAAACCTTGCTGCCTGCAAGGGAATTCTTGTGCTGCCTGGGGATTGGAAAAGGCCTGCTCATGCCTCTGGCATCCTCTGGCTTCTTCAGCATAAAAGTGCTTCCACTGCAATGGGTATATTCAGAGGTGTGAAGATTGCAGGAGCAGTGAAAAGTTATGGATAGTCCTACAGCACGTCTACTTTCACCCTCCTATCATGACTAGGGTCAAATGAAGAATAAAATTGTATCACCCATTTGATAACAGAATCAGTGCAGTTATGTTGTGGTTATCAACAGAAATGTTAAACATAAAGGTTTCTAGACTACTGACTTACTTGTTTCTTTGCAGCATTTTCCTCCTGCTTTGCTGAAGTGGCCCTGGGGGTCAATCTGCCTGCAGAAACCACATCCTTCCACCATACAGCTACTTCTGCTCAGCCACTTTCCTTTTGCCATTCTTCACCCCATCAAGGCACCACAGTTCATTTTAACAGCACAGGGTCTCTTAAAACAACAGCCATAAGCCGTAGAACAACTGTGCAGACAACAGACCAGCATCAGGTAACAAAAGCACCAGGCCATCACACAACAGCCCAGGCAGGAGCAACCAGCATACAAGTGACCACCCAGAAATCTCCCACATCAGCAGACAACACAACTGCAGCCGGTCAGGCTACAACCCAGGCAATGGAAACAGTTAGACCTGCAGTGAAGAACACAACCATATACCCTATGTCCTCAATCAAGCAAGCCAGAACACATGTGAGCACAGAAATGACAGCAGCAACCACAAACACAACCGTAAAGCATACAATACCAAATACACAAACGACAGCTGCTGCCATAACTACTACAGCTGCCACCATGAAAACTGTAAAGCCCACCACAGGATCAGGAAACCAAACAACAGGGCCTAAAAGTCCAACAGCCACAGCCATGACCAACACAACAACCATTCGTCCAGGTACTCAAACAACCATCCCATCTACTATGATGACAGTGAGACCCACTCTTGCACCACAGCCTTCTCCCATCCCCACTGGCGAATACACCGTTTCCATTGGGAACAGGACCTGCATCAAAGCGACCATGGGTTTGCAACTGATGGCTCAAAATACACATAAGGTGAGGGGAAGCACTACAAGGCTGAGCTTTGTAACAACTGTTTATTCATTAGCTGGAATTTATTCTTCTTCTTTCAAAGAAATTTTCAGAAGTTAGCTTGTATGATAAAAATAAGTGGGTTTGTTACCGGTCCAAGGCCTTTTCTGTGCCACAGCATCTCAGCTCCTGTACTTTGGCTTGTATGATGATGTCAGTGGGATGTGCAGGTGCTTTCTTCTTTCAGCAATCTGTGGTAGCAGTACTTGGGAGGGTAGGTCAGGCTTCAGTGTTATTTGTGTTTCCCAGAATGGGAGGCTAGTTAAAATCTGCATTGACTTCAGTGAAGGGCTTGACATTATGAGTTGCAATGAAAGCAAGAAATTGTCAGCTCTCAGACTTGGATTCAGAGGTGGGTTGTCTGGATGCTGATATGGAGATTTTAGGATCACAGGAACTGCCAGGCTGGATCAGAGCAGGGCAGCTGGTACCCTCTCCTAGCAGTGATCCACTGTGAATGATTCGGCAAAAGATGTAATAAAAGCCAAAATGGTGATTATGTCCCCCAGAATTAAGATTTTGTAACCTCCATTAATACAATATGTGGGGTTACATCCTCAGGCTCTGGAGTTCATACGCCTTGAGCCATTCCCATTAGAAATCAAAATATTCTTGCCTGGAATCTGAATATTTCTAACATGGGATGAGTATCTAATGTTGATGAAAGTAATTTTCATAAAATCATAGAACCATTTAGGTTGGAAAAGACCCTTAAGATCACTGAGTCCAACTGTAAACCAAACACTGCCAAGTCCACCACTAAACCACGTCCCTAAGCACCAGAACTACACAGCTTCTATCCCTTGTCCTGTCTGAAGCCAGGCAGGGAGCATTGTTCCCAACCTCACCAGACCACAGTGACATGTTTATTGCAAAAGGTGTGTATGAGATGAGACCGAAGGAGCCAAACTGTGTATTCAGGGCCCCAGAGCTCTCCTTTCAGGCCACAACGTGGGTTGGCCGCTGCTAGAGATGAACTGTACAGGACATAATGAGGAGGCTGGGGTGATACGAGGAGCAACATGCTGAAGCCAATCTGACCACTGCCTGCTTCTGTCTTGATCTTTCCTCTGCCTTCAGGCACAAGTTCCCACTGCTCCCTCTTTTTCAGTTACCACTGGTGTTCATCTGACCCTGCTCTGAGTCATATCAGTTCACTGAATGAGCAGAAAATGGTTACCTTCTGCCAGCTCAACCCACTGGAACAGCTCAGTGCTGTGTCAGACAAGCACTAGTGCTGGTTTACAAGCAGGCAATGACCCCGGCAGCCAGCAATTAGGCTGCCACTGCCACTGCCCTGTTCATTCAGCCACACAGAGTCTGTCTGGAAAAACAAACAAAAAAAAAAGGCAGCTATAAATATCTCTGTGTTTCTTATTAAGTTTTCCTCTCCTCTTCATCAGCAGCCCTGCAATGTCTCTTCTCTCCACAGAAGCAGATGGAGTACATGACCGTCAACCCCAATGCGACAGAGATATCTGGCAGCTGTGGGACAGTGCAGTCTGAGCTGAACATGACTTTCAGTGGAGGGTTCATAAAATTCACCTTTGTAAAGGTAATTGTTGCATTTAGAGAGAAGGAGTGTTTAGGATTGGGGAGCTGGGACTCAGGCTGCCTTTGATCCAGCTTGTGCTGTGGGAAAAGGCATTTCATCCATCTCTATGCTAGTTTTCCACCTGTATATAAGGCATTATCACCCCTGTCCTTCCCAAGAAGCTAGAATCATAGAACCATGGATTAATTCAGGTTGCAAGAGACCTTTGGAGGCCACCTGGTCCAACCGGCCGCTCAGAGCAGGGCTAACTTCAATGTCAAATCAGGTCTTGTCTATTTGAACTTTGAATTTCGCAAGGTTCCTATGTGCAATGAAGGGTAAGTACAGTGCCTTGCCATCCTTTGATACAAAGTGCTACAGAACAGGGACAAAGCTACCAGTCTAGCAAGGCAAAGTCTAGAAATAGCCCCAAATAAAATCTGCATCTTGTTTTTACATAGGTAAAAATCTAGTGCGAGGGAAGGCTGGGTCTGCTGTTTGCATTGGAGCAGGACAGAGGGAATGGGTTTGGGACCGGAGTCCCTGCACAGGAACAAGGTGTGTGTGCCAGGAGCTCTGACTCACACTATCAAGTTGCTCTTACGAAATGATGTCTCAGGGACCACCTGAATGCAGGTGAGCTTAGGCATTTGCTTCCCATAAATGCCAAGTATCACAAATGCCCAGCCAAAAGCCAGCTCTGGTTGTTAAATCCAAAGGGCAGCCTAATGCAGTTGTAAGTGTCCAGGAGCCACGGCCCATCCACAGCTGAAGGGGCCTAATTTCATCCAATTTCTGAGTGGAAAATTCCAAACAAGTGAACTACATCAACAAAATTGTAGATAAGTGCCCTTAAACTGCACCACACCAGGGAGACTTATAAGTACACAGAAACTTGGGCAAGAGAGAGACCCTGCTTACATAGTGGGAAAATGAGCTTTCTTTTTGACATTGTGTCTATTGTTACCATGTTCCCACTGGGATCGCATCATATGTGGATGACGCTTTAACATAAGCTACCAAAAGTGTTGCTGCTATTATAACCACAGGACAAAAATGCTGAGTGCAGCCCTCCTCTTGCTTCCTCAGACATTTACACATTTTGGGAGGCAGCACACAGTGCTAGTTATCTGAAAACTAATAAGGGCTGGGTGGTGATGCCAGCAGGGCTAAAGACAGAAGTTAATACTGTGTATAAAGTCATTAATGGGCAGGGAGGAATACAGCACGGATTGGATCCCATCAAACTCTGACCGTATGGCCATGTCCTGGAGCTCCATAGCAGTTCAGAGCTGCATCTGGCCACCATGGCTGATCTGTGTCCTTCAATTAATCAAGCCAAAATGTCAATCTTACAGCCTGGTTCCAAGATCAAATTAGTGACAGTTAAGAAAAGTACAAATGGTTAATCAGTCATTTCCATAGAAAGTCCAAGAGGCAACAGCAAATTATACCATGCCTGAGTCATTAATGGTTAAGCAGAGAAAAGATTTCAATTAATAGTCATCTTGATTTTAGTTTATGGCAGAAAGTTTTCTAAAAGCTACAGAGGAAAAGTGACCTAAAAAATCAAGGAGCTCTTTTAAAACAAAGGACCAGTTCAGACTGTGAAAGTTTGCTTTAAATGTATGCTTCCTGCAACAAGGGGAGCATTACAAGGATCCTTAGAAAAAGTCTGGTGATTCAAGCACCCATGAAAGCCCCAGCTCCAGCAGCGCTAAGGAGAGTGATGTGAACCTTTAGGAGGTACTTGACCTGTCTTGCCCTGAAAAAGGTGGTGATTGGCACAGCATCAGACAATCCACCCTTCACTTAAAGATAAGCCTCAAGAGCATAGCAGGGCTTGGCTTAGACTTCTTTGAAATTCAAGTTAATAAGAAATCATTTTGCTGCTCTTTTTCATGTGTTTGGCCCCCACAGCCTCTCTAACTGCTTTGAACCAGGAGTGCTCCAGCGATGGCACTTCTGAGTTTCACCAGTGAAAGACGAGCTGGAGCAGGCCTTGGGGCTGCGGTGTTGGTGCCGGGTAGCAGGAGGTGAGCGGCTGGCTGAGTACTCACCACAGCCAGCTGCTTTTTGCAAAGAACTTGAAAAAAGGAAGTTTTGTAACTGACCCGCAAGACGTGAAGTAGGAGCAGGTGTTTTCCCCAAGCAAAGTTATTAACTGTGGCCAAACAAAACAGAGCACTGCCACCAAAAAAATGGTAATATTTGACCTATTGATGCCTTTAAGTAGGAATAACGCTGAGAACCTCTTCTCTGGTGTATTTCTTTCTTAAACTTTCCCAATTCACCCTACCAGCTTTTAAACTGCATAACATTAAAACTGGGTGCACAGGAGAAAATCACGTCTGCTGCCATTTACCCACCAGCTGCTCTCACCAGTCCCTGTGTGCTCACAGCTGGAATTAAAACGAGTAGTAGGGCTGCTACATAAAGACTCACATTATAGTCCAACACTGCTACCAGGGAAAAGCTCCTTGGGCTGGCTCTCACTTTGTGACAGTCCTGGGGAGGACAGCGTTCGGGTTGCACCAGGGTTTTAGGGCACATGCAGGCGGGACAGTCAGCTGGAAATTTTGCTCTGTGCTGTTGTACCAGGTGCTTTCCACGTGAGCAGTCTGTAGGCATACAAAAAAAAAGCCAGCCAGCACCAATGGTGTCTGCAGGGTGGAAAGAACAGTTATTTCTCCCCAACACAGACACATCCAGGTTGCTGTTTGCTCATTTGTAGTGGCTGCTGTTGACAGGCAAAATAGGAAATGAGTGGTACTAGCATGAGATGAGCTCCTGGCTCTCAGCTTGTTGCTGACCTCTCCCAGTTCAAAACGACGATGAACACAGAAGCACGGCTGCTTTCTGCAGTGCTCACGCGAAGGGCATCTATGCAGAAAGTGCACTGCAGTGCCAAGAGTCCCAAGTACTTCTAAAGGTGTCAGCTTAGGTCCTGCAAGCAGTCAGACTGCAGGTCAGCAGGGATTGATTCAGTGCAGGATTGCTCATGAGAACACTGTAGGGACTCTCAGTGAAAGCAGAACAGGTGGATAAAAATAAATTGGCCTTATCACATGCCTGTTATTTTGTGCAATGGATATTACTTGTTTAACTCCCTCCTACTTTTGCTTACCACAAGTATCACACAAACGTTTAGTTTGAGCAGTGTGTGCAAAATCACATCTGCATGGTCCAGTTTCACTGAACTAAGCAGAATTGCTGATGTAGCTGAGATTGCTGCATTACATCAGCTTCTTACCTATTAGATGGAGTGATTTGGAAAAGAAAAAGCAATACATCCAGTGAGTTGGTTCTTGGGTCTTGAAGGTGATGCTTTAAAAAAATACGCTGCTTTGGGAAATTCTCTGTGACCATTTTGCTGCGGTGAACTGTATTTTTTTTTTCACAAATATGAGGATGTACTATTGTCCTGGTTTGAATAAAGATATATGTTCTTTTGCAGCAAGCTCCAACATACTATGTCAGTAAAATTGAGACCAGATTACAGTTATCTTCTGAAGGTCAGTGATTTTACATTGTCTTGATTGCATATCAAATTGTTCTGGGTGTGGGATAGGCTTTCATATCTTTAAAACACTGAATTTTGCAAATTATGTATTTTATCAGGCTTTCAACATGTCATTCACCTAAATCTTATGGCATGAAAATGGAAGAGAAGGGAATGGGCTGCAGTTTCATCAGAATTGTTCAATTTTCCTTTTGTCCTCAAAAACTTTCCCTGCCTTTCATTACTCTTTCAGAATACAGATTTCTTCAAGCCTAAATTTAAGCTACAAAATAGTCCTCAAAGTTTTTATCTGCAAACACACAAAAATGCTGTGACTCCAGTTCAGTTGCACGCATCTTTCCAATCTAATACGCAAACTAAATGAATACAGTATCTTGATCACAGAAATGCAGAGCTGGATTCAGTTTTCAAATGCACCAATATGGAGAGGAGGCATGTCTGACATTTTGGCTTGGCAAAAATAAGAACCCAGGCTGAGGTTCTTAAAACTATCCTGAAATCCTAGACCCTGTCTGTGCTCTTCTCCGGCGACCGGATTTTCTTCTTCTTATATACCCCTGCTTCTCACCATTTGAACAGCTGCCCCAGATGCTACCTCCCAAGAAATGCTACGAGAATATCATTTAGGTCAAACAGAAAAATTCTGAGCCACCACTTCAGATTTTCTCTGATATTAATTTTGCACAAATTCCTCCTAACATATCAAATCTGTGACAGGTTAACGACTATATTATGTCACTTCTCTGCTTGTTACTCATAAGTATTTGGATTGACTTTTGTCCCTGAAAGAAGAAAAACAAATCAGGAGCTTGACCAGGTGTGTCTTCATTTTTCTCCTCACTGATGAGCACTTTTATCAACTCAAGTGGAGCCTATTCTGATCTACAGCAATTAAAGTAAAACAAAAGCTGATCCAGAGGACATGTCTGCTAGGGATGTTCTCAGTCTAAATGATCAGAGTTTTCTTGCACATTGCTAAATGCAAATTGTAGCAAATACAAGCTAATTGGCTTAATAGTAAGTTTTAAAATCCTCAAATATACTTCGAGTCCTCCACAGTGGTACTGGCAAGAGACATTGTTCTCCCTGGCTGTTCGTTACTGCCTCTCTGCCAGACGTTGTCATTTCACAGTCCACCGGCAGTATTTTTGCAGTGAGCAAGCCTGTATCTTTTTCTAAGATAAAAATTACCAAATTAACTGTATCAGTACACACTAGTGTACTGATTTTGACTGAAGAGGACCAGGGGTGTGCTGGCAGATATGGTTGAGATACAATGATGCAGAGTTGGTGATGTGGATGATTTTGTCTTAAACTGGTATATCTGCTTTCAAAGAAGGATATGCATCCAGGATATGCTGAGGTTACAAGATCTTTTCATGCTTTGAACTTGAGCCATATTTTCCATAAAGTACTGTGACACTGAAATATGTTTAAAAACATATTTAATATATAAAGTAATACAGACTAGATATGTCAAATTTCCATGCTAGAGATCGTGTCTCTGTTTTGTCTGGCAATAGCCGTGCTGGAGACCTAAGATAGTTGTCTGCTCCTGTGAGAATCCTGACCCCCTCTTGCAGACTCAGATTGTTAAAATATGATTTGAAGAAGCATCTGAAATTTTAGCCACTTTTTCAGACCCAAGCCCAGCTGAGTTGCCCATTGATAATTAAAGCACTCATTTAAACATGGAAGAAATGTTACTGATACATTATAGGGAAAATGCCCATGCTTTAGTCATATCTGTGACTCCTGCTCTGCCAAAGCACTGGGGATCCCCCATTTTATCTCAGGAAGGTGTTGGATACAACAGAGTCAGTGTGGATTCTCATTTGTCTCTCTCTTTATGGCCTCCAGGTATGCTTTACTATGCAGCCATACATCAGAAGCTGTTTACAACAAAGCTGGGGAACTCCTTTAAGTGTGTCAGCAAGCAAACCTTCAGCTTGGAGAAGAACTTCCAGCTACTCCTTGTTAATATGCAGCTGCAGGCATTTGATATTGTCGGTAACACGTTTGGAAAAGGTAAGTAGAAAGGATACCTTTTCTATCCTTCTGAGATCTACATGTCAGCATTCTGGTAGCCTGAAGCATCTCCTTCTGCTAGGTTATAACCATACACATGCGGTGACCCTATGACACCTATAGCACAATCACAGCTTTGTAATAGCTCCCAAATGCTGTAACCTGTCCGCTGCTGTATTCTCACCCTCTTCTAAGTAATTTTCAACATAGTACTAATACTTATGGAAGACGGAAAAGTGTCTTTCCCTCCTACATTCAATACCTTCTGTTTCACCTTCTCATTAAAAATGTTCAACTCTACAGCCACCATTTTATTCTCCACCCATTTTCTCCCAGGGCAAGCGAAAGTGTGTTCACCACCATTGCATTGCCCAAACCCCTAATATGTACGGTTCAGTTCAAGGTCACTGTTCTCGACATAGTCAGATTTTAGCTATTTTGAAAGGCTCTTGACACTCATGATGTCCCTCAGGTGCAGCAGCGAAACTGCCAACTAATAAGGAATATTTGTGAATGCAGGATGATACTTTCAGAGTAGCTGTGTCTAGACATGATGAAATGCACTCCTCAGGAGGAGCACATTTTGGCATGCTCCCTAGTTTCAGAATTAAATGTGATGCTCATCTCTGCAATTTGTCTTTTCTTGAGTACAGACACAAAGAGGCAACCATGTAGCTTAGTAAAAGACAGAGACAGACCAGTACTGATTCCCCTGGTCCCTGGGTTGCCCACACTGGGAGAATGTATTTAGGCTCATCACAACTTCTTCCCTACCCCATACCTGGGGTTCTTTCCACAGGGAATTGAGCTCTTGTCATCCTTGTTTCCTGTCCAGTGATGCAGCCAGGATCTGGCCAGGGTGTGGGGTCCAGGACTGGGTGCACCAGAAAACTGCTGTGTCCCACAGTATGGACAATTACGGTCTACTGCCTTACTTCTTCTTATGAGATGCATGAAAGATCCTACAAAAAGCAGAGAGGTGGACAGTACCCTGCGGTCTCTTTCAAACTGTACATCTTCACATTTCTGTGACTTCCTCTCAGGCTGTTTCCAAACAAGACCTCAGGTGGGAGATAGGCTTCTCAGCTCTCCAGCCCTTCACATGTGCTAATAAAACATTCCCTTCTTCTGACATTTTACTTTCTGCATGCTGACAAAATATTGCCCCTGTATTATTCTTTTTACTTTAGATCTGTCTTTTGACTCAGTTTGGCTCTGTTTGACTGATTATTCTTCTGTTAGCTCAACATTTTGGCTGCCTTTCTTACTCTAAAAGGAATATAATGGGAAGCAACATCTGGGGCTTTTTTAAGACATGGACTTTTTTTTTTTTTTTTAACATACTTTTCTTGAAGTTCTTAAAAGCCACACTGAGAATCCAATCTATGCTCTCATTCTCATGAAGACTTTTTTCACAGGATAAAACCAAGCTGGAACAACTCATAGGATCCCATCTGGTCCCCAAATTCCCATTTGAATTTGTACAATGAATGAATTCAGATATGGCTTTTGGTATGGCCTCACCTCTAGCAGAGACAGAGCTTAGACAGACTCTCTCTCTCTCCCCCACCAAGGTCAGGCTAATCTCTGCTAATCAGTACCATATACAAAACTAATTAATTAGTTTTGCTCTTAATCAAGGGGCTGAGAAAGCAGCTACAACCTCTGAAGTAATTCCCCAGTGGCCATGAAATAGTTATGAAACTGTTAGGTACCCCTGCTGTGTATGCAGATTTTGAAAGACAAAATCCCCAGTGAAGTAATGACTCTATACACATCACCAGCCTCCTCTCCTCAGGTTTCTCGAGACTGGCAGTTTCACTTCTGTTGCTCCTGATTTGCTTATCTTTAAAAAGGGAAGAAAAAGAAAACACTAATGATCATTGGTTTCAAGTTCCTTACAATTTTGTACAGACTGCAGCAGTGTAACATCAATAGCTTGGCCTGTTTGCATCTGGAAAGCTTTAAAATGCCTTCTGAACTGCACTTCAGTATACCAGAAACAATTCCCAGAGTTCGTAGCCCAAGGTTTTGTCAAAGCAAAATGGCCAATTCAAACATCTCTGGCTTTTGCACTACTCAAATGCAAATACTTTTCAGCTCACTTCCTTAACAGCAAGTTACATAAACCATACAAAGCTTTTAAAAGGCAGCATCTCCTTTTATGACCTGGTGACCCGCCTGGTAGATGATG